TTTATTTGTACAAGTATACAATAGTTTATATTTTATTTTTCGCGACCATTATTTGTATCGTATTATTAAAAAAATTCAATATTTGCTAGTAAATAGCAAAGACTTGATTAAAACTACATAACTCTATGTATATAAAATAAAAATTAAAAAAAATTTTTTTTATATTTTTAAATAACCATTTAAAATAATATTATTTAAATTGCATGTGTATGTTTTAAAATGCATCCCTGGCTGAAAGCTGCGAGGCGCGATAAAAAGCTGCTTTGTCCTACATGGTTAAGAATAGAATTCATTTCACGTTTCAAATTGAATTGTGGGTAAGAAGCGGCTAAGCCCAGAACATTTTTTATTGCAAAATTGGTTATTAAATTTCATATGTTTATATAGCCGGATTTATGTGAAGATTGTACCTATTCTTGCATGACTAGTTATTATTAATATTTTTATATATAAAGAATTTTTATAATTTTTAATGCAAATATTTGAAGATGGTAGCTCTGGGATAAGATGTAACCATAGAAAACTAAATAAACACTCTCTTTGTTAAAAAGCATCTAGTTTTTCTATTAAAAATTATATTTATTTTTCTTGTATAAACGAACCATAAAGAATTGAAAATAAAGTATTAAGTCTTACTACACCACAATATCGTGAATATGAAAAGAATTTAAGTAAAAAAAAGATATTATAACTAAATAGTATTTTCAGAATATGATATGCAATGCAAAAATATCGAAAATACTTCAGGACTTTTGTATAAGATTGATAATATTTTAGAATGTTCGTTTATATCATGAATACTTTATTATTCGTTTTATCACTGAGCAAAGTTTCCTGTGAAATGTCAAAAAAAAACTAGTTGGTATTGGTATTTTGCCTTGAGGCAAGTTACATGAACTTCTCGAAATGTGTAAATAATCGACTTAATCAATAAAAAACAAATTAATTTATGAGTGATTATAAGTATTCCGAGTGGATTTATTACACATCTCTTGGTTATGGTTATTCAAGAACTGAACTCAAGAAATAAAACTTTAGCTGTTAAACGCCAGTGATTACTTTGCATGTAAATATTTTATATTGTCAGGTGAACCAACATTTTATCAAATAGTGTATTGGTAAATTTTGTGATACTAATGAGAATTTTTACTTTTGCTCTGTTTAAAATAAAGCCTATTATTTGCTTGAATTTTCATCCCCAGGAAAATAGGGAATCGTCAATCAAATATTTCGAAAGTTATTTTTTAAGAATTTTATGCATAGAATTTTTATAAACTGCACTACGAAGTTACGAATTAACGATTCAAATCTAACATGTACCAACCCATGTTTATGACATTGTGAATATTTTGTTTATAATATGCAAACAATAATAATGAAATACCTTCATTTGCTTCACAATCGAACAATAAACGAAATCCATGCCATGATAATCCTAACAACTATGAGAAAAAAAAAATATTATAAATGCTTTATAATTCGGAGCTCTGTCGCTGACAGCTAAGTCGGTTTTTGCTGGTTATACCGATATTATCGCTTGAGACGCATAATATTAAGTGCGATATAATAGAAATAAATCGGAGCATATCGGCCAAAGAACGGGGGTTTCGTTGCTAACATCAAAAACATATCTGGATTATGTGCGATTAGCAAGAATGGATTAAAAAGGGTGTCCCATATAATAAACGTTGAACGAGTTTTTTATGGCCACATGTACATATATATATTTTATATCCGAGCAAGAGACCATAATATTTAGTTCTAAAAAACTGCGATAATGAAACTATTTAGTAATATTCTAAATTCTGATTTGTCTATAACTTGAAGAATAAAGTATGACGCAAAACTCAAACATAACAAAGTATAAGTTTATTCGACTTTTAAACGAAACCATATAATTATCTTATTTTTGTAAGTTATCTATCTCTATAATATTGTGAGAAATTACATGATTAGTTTTCTCTATATTCATATTATTAATTTGAATAATAAATCAGCTACCTTCAAAATTCTAAATGCAGATGATGCAAAGAGTTATTATTTATCATTACATATGTGAATACTGAATATCCAAGAGAAGTGTCATGTGAATATTAGAATAAAAGCTAACATTCGTTCAAAAGAAAACATTTATACAAGTTTTCCATTTATGCATGAATTTATGTGTTATACAAAGATTAATTTTTCATATAGTACATATAAAATATAACAAAACATACGTTTATAGCAGATGGTAATATTTGAAACATGAATTATTTCAATTTTCTAATATTTCATAAGAAAATTGTAGAGCTAGTACCATACTTAGTTTTCAAAATTATATCAATATTTTGTAATTATCAAGAGTTCACTCGATTAGAATATTTTATAACAAATTACATATTCTGTAGGTATCTAAAATATTAATAAATGCTCATGGAAGTCACAAACATCCATCACATTACTTCTGCCAAAAGATCAACTGCATATTTTTCGAGCGCACAATGCAAAATTTATTGGCCGGATAGTTTACCTTTTATTCCAAATTTTCTTTCATTTCTGCAAAAAATATAAATCTATATAATAGTTTAAAATGGACACCAAAAAACGCAAGTAGAACACGACCGGTTCATTTTAACAGGATTAACTCTTTTGTAAGCTCCACAATAAACGCCGAAATGATCTTGCAGTACTGAAGGAGCATTCGTTTTTCTTCTCGATGAACAATCATCACAAAACCTATTCTTATTTTTTCAACATACAGTTGAGCGATTAAAATCTTGTTTGCCATTTCACTGACATATGTTTTTTATTGTATGGGCAGTTTATTTGTGTATATTTATATTATAATACGTAAATAAGACGCAGAAAATGCAGTAGCATAGCTTATTCTTAAATGCGGCAAATCAATTATTTTTGTATTGTATGTATGCGCACCACGCAACAGAAAGTATTTTTGATCCCGGATGAAATATGCGAAATAGTTAATTTCACCTGAAGGAGTAAGTCTTTAATATTTCCTGTTAACTGGATACAAAAAAATCTTCATTGGTTGAATCAACATTTCAAATATATTAAGTCATAAAGCAAGTAATGTATGTCATTTTACCTTCAGAAAAGTTGCAGGAACTTTTCATTTTATAAACAAACTTGGGATGAATTATATTATGAAATATTATAATTTAATATTGAATGGTATATATGTTGAGTAAGTTTGAGATATTTTGAAGAACACAAGTTTTGCAAAGATTCCGGATGAATTTCGGATTTGTTTGAAAATTTTAAGAGATATGTTGTCGTACTGCAAGTGCAGCTGTATTCTGCATGATGCGACTGACCTTATACTTGTTTATCTATGCGACCGACTATCATCCACAATTAATTAAAAAGTTACTATTTAAATGTATAAATAACCACTACTATTTTTCTAAGTTGCAACATATAATTTTGGAAAAATATGCATTGACATTTTTTGATTAGAAATTTTTCATTCTATTTTTTTTTCTTGTCTACCGGGCGAATTTGCAAACACATGCAGGCTGGATTAACCTATTTGCGCTCGGGAGTATTGCATCTGATCTGGATATTAGATCCTAATACATAGATCCCCGTACCTTTGGATTATCCCGAAAAGCTCTAATAAGTTCAATCGAGCACATGACAGCTGAGCTTTGCGTTTCAATTGAACCACGGCCTCTCTCAGAAGTATTTGTTCCACAGCGCATAAAATGCAGCTCATAGTGCTCATTGTTTGTACTGTTTATTTTTCATATAATTTACACTCCGGTAAAACTTGGAACGGTTAGGAATTTCTACCACAAATGAATTATAACATCATAGAAATAATATGATCCTTTTGTTGATTAAAATTTCAGTCAATAGTAAAAAATTATATCTTTAAGTGTTGATTGCGTATAGAAGGCTTATTATTATACAATACTAATGTATGCCAACGGCAATTCAAAATAAATGTTTTCAAAAATTTTAAAAATAATGATGTTTACTTATTTGCTCTTCAGCAGTTTTCATATGTCCAAATGATTAAAGAAACTACTTTTGGGGATATTTGCAAAAAAAAAAACGATGAAAACGCCTAAAAAAAGTAAATTTTTTGTAGCCAGTAATTTGAAAAGTATTTGTTTTTTGTAAAACTTCATAAAACATATTTTTGTTATATTTAGTTCTTCTATGGATATCCGTCGTTATTCTGAAAAAAATTAAATTACGCCACTGAGAAGAGGTGTTATCCCCCCGGGGGTTGGCGGCGGAGTCCAAATTGTTTTCACTTTTGAACTTGAGGGTAAGATGAACCTAACTCTAAAATTTCATGCAAATTGGAGCACAGTAAAAAAATCAGACCCAAAACGCTCTATTGACTGGAGTAACTATACTATTTAGTAACGCCGTATTTAAAACTATTTCAATATACTTCTGAAGTTCTCTGTGCGTGGTAAAAAAATATAATTTGATGTTTACTGTATGGAATAATATTACAGTATATAAAATCATACATTGCATTCTAGGAATCTCTAATTTATAATTGAAACTCATTAATAAAGATCATGGTAATAACAAATTCTATTGTAGCATAGATATAAGTGGCTTCTTTAAACAACAAACATAATCAAGAATTAAAGAAACGATAAGAACATATAAAAAATCTTCAAAAATTTTACTATAAATTCAAGAATGATATAATATGTATAAACCCATGTGTAAGTGCATCATTAATCGCTTATAATATAAATATTAAGAGACAATTTTACTACTTCACTATTTTAAAATTATAAAATTATTATTAATGACGGTAGTATTAGTAAATCATTTATATAATTAGCGTAATACTAAATTGTTCTTCTAAAATGAATATAATTCCTAATTTTAGTTATAGAATATTTTCAAATCACGTAAGAGTTATGCAACATCGTAAGGTTGGTGGTGGTGAAAACTTTGACATTTGTGTCGCACTTCAAATGCAATACTGAAAGAACAGGTGCTGTCAAATGTCAAAAAAATCAATTTGATTTGTATATTGGTAAAGTTAATTATATAATTTAATTGTTTTGGAAAAAAAGGATTGACACTAAAAATGTAAGTATCATAAAATATTGATAAGTAATTTATTCATATATTATTCGTAGACAATATATTTTATATTATATATACACTAGAGATGAGTTTTGCGGAGTATTTGTATTTATTTAGATTTTGGCTTGAAGCTGTAATCTATAATAAGTTTGAATTGGCGTAAACTCAGTCAGGTAGAGTTGCTATTTTAGTTCTGTAGTGGTTTTGTGCATTAGCTGTAGCAGCATTGCTTGAGTTTTGAGTTGATAACCTGCAACCTAGCCTGCGACTTCTGTTCTATTGATAAAGGAGAAATAATTATTTTATGTCCAAATTACAGGGTGATAAAACCCATTGACATCAATTTGAAAAAAAATTCAATAAAAAAACAATGGACAGGAGGATGATATATTAATAGAATGTGCCTTTATATCAATAATTTCGACCACAAACACTGCCTTTTATGAATTAAAATGTCTTTAAAAGAATGTGAAAGTGATATAAAACATTTAAAATCAGAATCTATGTTATTTGCATGTGAAGAAAATTCCAAAGAAAACAGTGCAAACTATTTAAATGGAAAACAACCAATCAAGAATGTGAGTAATAAAATATTAAAAAACTGTCAAAATGTGACAGCTACTATTGAGGGAAATATAAAAAATAGCAGCGATATTGCACGAAAACGATGGAAGATATTAGCAAAAGCCCTAAATAAACCGGCACAAGCATCAATGGAAGATATTTCTGTGCGTAGATTTACAACCTTCGATGTTATTAAATCACAACCTATGATAATTAATAATATAAATGAAACTGCTACTTGGCATTTGTATAGATACAATCAGTATACTGCGATAGTACGGCAGCCCAATAAGCCTCTGACACCAGGGGCTCTAATAGGATTTAATAACACAGGGAATATTTGTGTTTGGCCATCAGAAGAAGCATTGGCAGTTTTTGTGTTGGAAAATCTTGATATATTTGATAGCACTTGGGTTTTAGAATTAGGAGGTGGTTTATCTTGCCTAGCAGGATTGATGCTGGCAAAATATGGAAATTTATCAGGAATTTGTTTAACCGATGGAAATCCTATCACTGTTGATAATATTCGAAACATAATGAGTCGCAATGAGATTAATTGTTTTGTTAAATGTTCAGTTTTAAAGTGGGGAGAAGAATCAAAGATTTGTATGCCCGTGGAAAGATACAAATATGATTTTATATTATGTGCTGATTGCCTTTTCTTCGACAATATTCACACTGCTCTGCTTGAAACCATATGGTACTATTTATCAAGTACTGGAACAGCTTTGATTATGGCTCCTGATCGAAATGAAACCTTGAATTGGTTTATTGCAACTGCCCAACAATTTGGATTCAAATGCAGTCTTCATCAGAGATATAACAGTCAGATATGGCAAAAGCATTTAGAATTAAAAGAATCATCTATTTATGATGAAAATATCCATTATCCAAAATTATTAAAATTAAATAAACCAGATTTTTAGAATTTGTTTTTTTGTTATAGATGACCAATTATATTTGACTGAGAGAAATATCTTTGAGCCAAACATCAGATTAGTGATAATTTAGTTATATTAAAATATGTGCAGCCCTGAACAAATATCAAAGAAATTTAAATGAAAAATTTTTAAACACCAATTAAGCAATACAAGCGACTTAGAATATTTAGCTATGCATAGCCTTTAAAATAAACTTTAAAGCCTTATAAATAAAACCTTTATTAGAGTTAATCTAGTCAATCCCATGTGCCTAAATAGTCTTCTCAAACAAAGTTTCCTGAAACTCATTTGAATATTTGAAATAAATAATAAAATGAATGGGTTTTATAAACTCACAAGTCAAATATGCTAAATAGATTCATATCAAATAATTCTAGTCTACCAAATGATAATTCATACTCCAATTAATTTATATAGATATACGTTTAATAATACTATTGGCTGGCAGTTAATGAAAAGGCCACAGTTAAGACTGATCTATAATAGAATATCTAGAATAGTGAACATATTTATTTTTAGTATGATTAATTTAAAATTATTTATTTTTTATCCAAAAATTGTTCTAATCAAGTAATTATAACATTACTTTTGCTCATATTGGAAACAATATTTCAGTAAAAAATATAATAAATTGTTGCAAAATAACTTAACTAATAAATTAAATGATGATTACTCAAGTGTTCTTATTTAGCATTTTAGTTATGGACAAAGTATTGTTTATTTTGATTGCTGTTCATAAAAAAAATATGTTACATATATGTAATACATGTACTAACTTTTAGATACTTAATGTTTTGTCATAATCTTTGTAACTCTTTTTAATTTCTATAGTATGGTATTTCACATACAAGTTCTATCAAACTGCAATATCTCATTTTTATTTAATACAAATAAAATAAGTGGAAGCCCATTCTTTTTCCCACTTATATATTGATAAAATTATATTTAAGAAAACATTACGTTCATTAATAAAAATAAATTGCTAAATAATACACGATGATTTACAGGGCAGATTATTGGAAATCCAAAGAAAGAAAATATTGTGATTTTTGTAAATGCTGGCTTGGAGATGATAAAATGGTGAGTTAGTTTAAAAACTATTTTCTTACCTGGAAATTTTGATATGTATGTTTTTGCAGACTATATCCATACATGAAAATGGGAAAAGACATAAAGACAATGTAGCTAAAAGATTGTCAACTATTCAGAAAAAAAGTGCTAAAGAACATAAAAGCAATCTGAAGGTAATTTATATCAATGTAAATTATTATTTATTCTTCAAATATTTTAAACTATTTATAAATAAGTAAATAAGACCACTTTCTTTATCATATAAATATTTACTGAATCATATTATAGTTTGAAGATGAAATGCGCAAAATGGAAGCAGCTGCTATGAAAGCATATATGAATGATATTGAAGGAAATTCAGATCTCACATCTCAAAATATAAATGAAACGCTTCTCAAAACAAATAGTCAATTAGTCCTTGGAGCCAGTTACACGGAATCATCATCTAATAGCGGGCCAAGTTCAAATAAAAATGAACCTAAGAATAAAAAATAATAAAAAGAATAATAAGAATAAAAAAAAGTCTGGTAACAAAGATAGCAATAATATAAAAGAAGTAAGCAGTTTGGATAATAAATTATGGTATGAGGCCAAAACTGAAGATGGAAACATTTATTACTGGCACATACAAACAAATGGTAATGAACTCATTTTAAGATCATATAAAATATCACAAAATTGTCAGTAATAGTCATAATAATAGTATATACTCTTTTGTAATTTAACTTATAATTTTAAATATGTTTCAACTACATATATTCTAAAATTTGAAAGGCAATATTATCATCTATAAACCTTATTGCCTTTTGGGTTTAACTCATGAATTTCAATATGAATAATTAAGCACAAAGAAAATATTAAAATTTGTTTTACTAGAGTCCACATGGGAGCCACCACCACAAGGATATATGTCAATAGAAGAGCAAGAAAGAATTACGAATGAATATAATGAGAAGAAACAAATTGAAGAAGATTTTAAAGAAAAGCATAAAGATGAAATAGAAGCCGAACAGAAAGCAAGTGAACAACGGGAAAGGCTAAAAGCCTTCCGGGCAGAACCTATTCCTGAACCGGAAGTTAATTACGAACACTTCAATAATCCAGCAGAAAAGATAGACCCATATGGAAAATGGCAGACTGTTGAAAATAGGTGAGTTAAAAATATTGTGTAACTGTACATTAATGAAGAAGCAAAAATACTATCCTGAGCTGTTTGAATACTAAAATATATTCTAGTGTTTATGTGCAAATTGGGAACATTATCTGCAATCGAAAATGTCTGATTAGTTTCTCTTTCATTACTAACACGGGTGATGTTAGAAACTTCTAATCGAAAATGTAAAAGTATTACAAAAATGTCATTTCATACCATTGCCTCATTTTTTATTATTATACAGATTTATATTATTTATTTACGAGATTTATTTCATTAATCATGATTCATTAAGTTATTTAGAATTTCTAAAGAAAAGTTTTAATGATGCATAGCTTTGTTGCTGAATGTGCTAAAACATTTTTATATTAACGTGGGAACCCTCAGGCATTTTGATGAAACTTCGCATTATGATAGAGTTGATAGTCAAACCGAACCCCAAACAATATTATAGGCCTATGATAGTACTAAATCAATCATTTGTCTTTGTATGATACATAAGGAAACTTTATACAAGAATCTTTTGATTTAATTTCAAAGATAAAATTAGTGTATTGGGGCGATGCTATTTAATCAGCATAATAAATTTATTATTTGTTTTAATATTATCTATTTAATGAATAATTTTTAAATATATTTCTTGCACTAATTTACAATAATGATTATATAATAGAGTAACTGAAATGTATGGAATAATATTATAATGCAATTTTGTTTACATTATTATAGCTATAGTTCCTCTATGGATTTACAACTCCCAAAACAAGATTTTGTTACTATACATGTTCCTAGTTTAAAACCTGCTGACAAGCCAGAGAAGGTGTTTAAAGAAAAAGTTGTTACTTTGGACTCAGATGACAAGACCAGTTGTACAGGATTTAAAAAGAGAAAAGTTATTGGTGGAAATAAAAAGAACGTAAGACAACGACTTGATGAAGATGATTAAATATAATTTTGTTTAGATATTTTTTAAATAAACTTCTAAAAAATCAGTTGTGTTTGGTTGTAATTTGTGACTGAATCTATTTTTACTAGTCGCAGTATAACTTCTAATCTCTAAAACTCGTTATAGCAATAAATCATGTTTGATTATATTTTATGAAATAAGTTTTAATAATTAATAAGTTTTAAATCATTGTTCAAATTATTTTTGCAATGATTTCAAAATTTATTTTTAAGAAAAAATCAAAATCAAATTTTATCAACGTAACATATTATACATGATAGTTAACTTATGTATAATACTGTATTATAGTTGCATAGCTTAGAGAAGTTAACATCATAGTAAAAGATAAATAAATCACTTTTAAATCATTTTTTATGAATATAAAATTTCTACATATATTACCTGTACTCTACTTAAACTTTCAAGTAAATCGACATGAGACACTTTATACTATTAGCATAAAGTTTACTATTTAGTATAAAATAATAACTCGGTACTATAGTACTTAAGAGTTATGAAATTTTAATTTAGTATATAATATTTCTCTTAAAAAAAATAAAACATAGTTCATCTTACCGTTTTCTGGTTCTGGATATAAACTTAACAGTTGTAGTAATGTGTAATCATAAAAATATAGTTAGAGAAGTAATAATAAACAAATCAGGCATCGCTCGGTAAATAACACACGGTTGTCACTACTAACATTAATTAATTTGAATAGTCTAATAATTAGAATTAAAACACTAACTGTCAAAATCGCGGCATTTTTCACTGACGTTATAGATAATAATTACTACTATAGTTTATTCAAATTAACGATGATCTAAATAATTAAAACATATCATTGCACATCACATTATACATTTATTACTAGACTAAACTAATTATTCTACGCTAAACGTCATATTCCAACTGTTTAATAAAACTAAATTGGGATGACCAGTAACGGCCATAACGGCGTAGTCAGATTTTGAAAGATAGGACGTTTACTAGTAAAAACTATAGTTCACTATATTTTGTTAATTTAGCTGCTAGATTTACTTAGACCGTTTTTATCAGTATGTGTCTTTGTTATATCAATTTAATTTATATAAAATGGTTTATCTAAAAAATTACAATTTCACAAATATATTTACAAATTCGCGGTGAAAACCCGAACTTAAAACGCTCGTCAAAACGGATTTTTTGGAGAAAACAAACTTTCTGGCAATTAAAATAACATCGATTCACTTTCATGATTCATTTTAGTGACTATTCACTATTCAGGTTCTTAGAGAGAAAGATCAAAACATTTTAAAAGAAGGCAGATCAAGTGCAAAGCGGCTCTTTGAAAGCGAAAAATGATCATTATAGCCTTTATTATTTGAGCTCCAATGAATCATTGTAATGACCATTTTTCCTTAAAATTGCTTTCATAAGACTTGTAAATCGATGATAATGATTGTTTCAAGACAACGGTGTGAATAGAATTTTGAGAGTTTAATTGGTTACAAAGATTTAAAGAAAACTTAACCTTCCAAATCGAGGTTCGTCCCTTATGTGTCAGTTGCCATACTCCTCCGAAACGGCTTGACCAATTTTGATGAAATTTTTAAATTCGAATTTGATGAAATTGGCCAACCCGTTTCGGAGGTGTATGGCAACTGACACATAAGGGAGGAGTATGGCAACTGACACATATGTAGAATTGTAGAATATTCTAAAGGACTGAATAAGATCGGTCTAGGTGAAGCAAAATTAGAAAGTCTTAAAGTATATGAATACGCGCTACTCGCTTTCAGTCGTAGGGTTTAATATAGAATGACAATATAAGTTTTCTTACTTAATAAATAATAGCAGAATATACATTTTTAACTTCCAGATTTTCAAATTATGTTTTCTCGACGTTACAAGCCATTCCGAATGGTTTTACACAAAAATTAGTGTATGTTTTTTGAATTTCGAAGGAAATGCCAGGATTCGCCCTGGTATGGCGACCGCAGCAATAAAAATATCGCCTAAAACTTCCGGTTTCCTCTTTCCGCTTTCGAAGTGACGTGAAGCAATAAAAAACAAATTGGATTTTCTGGCGAAAATAACTTCTCCTTCAGGAAGTTAATTTGTTTTCCATAGGCATAATTCCAAACGACTTATTCAATTGCACTGATAACAATCTCACGTGAATAATCCTTTAAGACCGGCCGCATTATTTTGTCACAGATGACCTGTCATTTTCACCAAACGTCAAAACTCTAATGTTTCGGTTCAAAATTTATTTTTACATTCATGTTCACACGTAATTTTAAGCAAAATTCCTGTTAATTCTTGTACATAAGTTTTCAAAATTTTATAAAAATGTGATGTTTATACATAATTGGAACAAAGATTATTGTCCTTAAAATACTACAATGTTTCCTACGCAAAAATGGATCGGATTAGCCTTGTTGTATAGGTTAAACTTTGTAACAAAAAGATGCTTTATTACTGCTGAAACAGATGCTAATGAGAATGTATTCTATTCCAAATCAAAAAACACGAGCAAAAATGAAAAGCCTCATATAAATAAGACCAAAGACGCTGCTCATACATCCAGTGGGACAAAGTAAACCAATAATTAAAGTCAGTTAAGGGGTTATGTGGGATTTAAGCATGAATTTCTAAAAATTCAGAAATTACTAAGATATTTTAAAAAATTGCTAAATTTAATCATGAAATGCTATAGTTATAAAAATATTGTTAATACAAATTCCTATCAGTTATAATCTTTGTGGGTCATTTTATAACATAGGCTACCTCATAAAATTGGGTTTTCTACTTTTATTAAATATTTTTTTAATTCTGATATTTATATTTCAGAAAATATGATGTAGCTATAATTGGTGGTGGAATTGTTGGTACAGCAAGTGCAAGAGAAATAATTGGCCGTCATCCTAAATATAAGATGGTCCTTTTGGAAAAGGAAGATCGTCTTGCAGTTCATCAGACAGGCCACAACAGCGGAGTTCTTCATTGTGGCATTTATTACACTCCCGGCTCTTTAAGAGCAAAATTATGTGTTCAGGGAATTAAATTATTGTATGACTATTGTGATGAAAAGAAAATTCCATATAAAAAATGTGGAAAATTGATTGTGGCTACAAATGAAGAAGAATTAAAAAGGCTAAAAGATTTATTTGATCGTGGAATTCAAAATGGTGTACCTGATCTAGAAATTTATTGTCAGTCTGAAATTCATAAAATAGAGCCTCATTGTTGTGGTGTAGGTGCTATATATTCACCTATTACTGGCATTGTTGATTATGCTAAAGTAACAGAAACTATGGGAAAAGATTTCAAACAATGTGGTGGTGAGATCAAGGTTAGCTTTCACGTTGACAAATTTGAAGATTCGAAAGATCCACAATATCCAGTAAAGATCACATCAAAAAGTAAAGAAGTAGTGGAAGCAAACATGTTTTAGTATGTGCTGGTCTATTTTCTGATCGTCTTGCTGTAAAGACAGGATGTCCACGTAATCCACAAATAGTTCCTTTCCGTGGAGAGTATCTAATTCTTCTTCCAGAAAACGAAATTTAGTTAAAGGAAATATTTACCCAGTCCCAGATCCCAGATTACCATTTCTAGGAGTTCATTGTACACCAAGAATGGATGGAAATATATGGCTTGGTCCAAATGCTGTAGTAGCTTTTAAACGTGAGGGCTATAGGTAATTGCTATATAACTTCAAATATTAGTAAAATATTTCTGTATACGTCAATTTTATATTTATTTTAGATGGAAGGATATTAATATAAGAGACACGTTAGAAATGCTTACTCATACTGGCTTCATTAAATTAACACTGAAAAATTTGATGTTTGGTTTTAAGGAAATTTTGAGATCTTGTTTTGTACCACTTCAAGTTGCTAATCTGAATAAATTCCTGCCGGAATTAACAGAATTAGATGTCAAAAGAGGACCTGCTGGTGGCAGAGCTCAAGCTATTGATGCTAGTGGTAACATATACTTATGCAAAAAGTTCTGCTAGTT